ATGGCACAAGGTCAATATGGAGCACCCAGTACATGTCGAGCCCACTACACTGACTGATCTAGCGAGACACGCTTATTGATTACTAACAATTACAGGTCGCGAAAGTGCTCCGGATATGGCATTATATATATATATATATATATATAAAATCCTAATATGCAGTTATGCTGTTTTAATGTTAATATAATGTCAACGTCGGACGTTTCGGTGTAATAGACCATCTTCAGGACATATTCATAAAACATAATTAACATTAGACTATATTCAATTCAACATGAAAAAGACGATGGACATAAGAGTAAGACTAATCCAAATAGATAACTGAAATTTTTATAAGATCAGCGTTCCGTTTTAATATGATTTTTTCTTCATACTGTCGGATCTATATCCATATATTTGCTTACATATATATATATATATATATATATATATATATATATATATATATTATTTATTTAAAAATATGATTCCATCGCTACATAAGAGTTCTCATGTTTCAAAACAAGAGCCGAAAACTTCAATATAATTATTTGAATTAAATTGAATTAAAGTACCAAGCTCTGTTTCATTTTCAAGCGAAAGTAACCTTTCAAACGTTATTTTTTAGGGAATAATCATATTTGAGTAGAAACTCCGTTAACAGTAGGTTTAGTCACTTTCGTCTACCGGCCGAAATGTTCGAGAGATCTTATTAAAGCAAAATTTGCGCTCGCAGGGAAGAATCGAACCTTCTTTCCTTAGGGCCAGAAGGAGCTACCGTTTAGTGTGGCCAGTTCTCCATATAGAAGGTATGTTCGGAATCCTTCCATTATGAGACTGTTGTTTGCTGTGTTTTCTTGTTGCTGAATTACAAATGGCGATTCTCTACCTTTCATTGAGATTGTCACGAGGATCACGTGACGGACGTTGAATGACGTCACAGAGGAGATTGATGAGAAGAATTGTCATATAGGTTGTAGTAATTGCCAGAGAAGAATGGCCTGGCCCAGTTCGTAGAGAAGCAGTCGGAACTACAGTTTTCCTTTCGGGGAAAAGTAAGGTTCCCTTTTCTTACTCACTGTTTGTTGAGGCGTATATTATAATGATATTTTTTTTAATGGTTTATTTATTTTGTACACTAATTGCTTCTAGGGTATTGTGTCTGTAAAGTATTTCGTTTATTCATTAATATTTGTTGGTTCTTTTAAGTCATGCGTGGTTTACACACACACACACACACACACACACACACACACACACACACACATATATATATATATATATATATATATATATTGTTAATGACCCCTGACGAGTGGACGGAGTGATTTCTGGAGGGTCCGTCTAAGAAAATCTGGACCCCGGATGCTGAAGGTAACATCAATCAGCTAAGTGACAATCTTTATACTTATGTACACTGTCTACCTATTTCTTTATTTCTCTCTCCCTCCCCCTCTCTCTCTCATATATATATATATATATATATATATATATATATATATATATATATATATATATATATATATATATGTGTGTGTGTGTGTGTGTCTGTGGAGAGAGGTGGTATATATATATATATATGAAGAAGGTATAAATAATAAACAGAATTATACGTTATAAAAACTCATCGCAATTACTTCTTCTCTGAAACTGTACAATCTTTGGATTCTCTTTGAGTAAACAAGGCACACATTTAGAAGGAACTAAACTCTGAAATTCCTTGGCATGAAATCCACGAACAACCGATCACTCCAATAAATTGTTCTGACAACACTTCATTTTTACATCAGTGAATTTTATTAAGTGTTTTGCAATTTTCGTTCTTTGTGGGGTCGGTAACATCAGTGTTGACTGTAAGTAACATTTGAAACGAGTATATAGGTTCGCATATCGTCCAGCCCATGCCCCTTCTAGGTCTTTTGAACAGGAGTAGAGGTTCATCCCTTGTTTTCTGTTCAGGATTGGGTTTCTTGTTCCTTCTAAAGTATACTTCTAACGTCTCCGCTTAAACGCTGTAATTTTATTTACCATGTATTCCCCCCCCTCAATAGGCGTAGATAGATCGCCTATCGCCCGAATCATGCTCCTCCCCTGTCTTTTGAATAGGTCTAGAGGTTTATCCTTTGTTTCCTGTTTAAGATTGGTTTACTGGTTCCTTCTAAGTGTACTCATTCTCTTTCTCTCACCGTCACCCTCATGCATCTTCCTGGCATTATCCTTCTCTTTGGAGTGAAATGATTAAAAACATATAATACACTTGGGTTTGGGCTTCAGATTTTATCCTTAAAAAGCTTCTAGAAGCATTACAACAATTTAAGCCAGAATTATGCGCAAAACAAAACAAAATAATATAGCGAAGCAATGTGCAACTACAGCCAGCTCGCGCGCCACATTTAAATACTGATTTGTTATTATCCTTTCGGATGTTGACGCCAAACCGAAGGTTATGATTTGCAAGAATGAAAGAGAATAAAAATCTATTAAAATAAAGTGATTAGTAGCGGCCTTGTCAGTAAAAGCCATCAGACAAAATCTCTGGTGATATATTTCACTTAAACTGGAGTCTAAATTTACTGCCAGTTGTGTAACACAGCCAAGTAAATAGAAAGTTAGTCATCACATTGCTGAATTTGGGTGACTGTCCGTAAGGCGGAGGTCGAAAATGATTTATAGTTATCATAAGAATCAAAGTGATCTCCCAAAACGTAGACAGGTTGCCGGTTTGGGGTGGTTCCTGGTCTTTTTTTTTTTTTTTTTTTTTTTTGGCGTCTCTCAAATATCAAAGTAAAGCGTCAACCTGTTTTGATGGGAGATCACAGTCAGCGACTGATCTTATCTCCCCTGGGTTCAGCAAGAACCACATGTCATGAATGAAGGAAGGAATCGGACGAAACAAGTCTGAAACAAGTTCGGCGAACCTCAAGCATTAGAATTTGCTTTTTTTTTTCATTGAGATAAGGTGTCTCAAAAGGATAAAAAAAAAGAAAAGAAAAGATAAAAATAACGCCATCAAGAGTATGATTAAAAAGCGACTCATTTCTATATTTCCTTCTTTCCTTCCTTTCTTCCTTCCTTCCTTTCTTTCTTTCTTTCTTTGTTTCTTTGTTTCTTTCTTTCTTTATTTCTTTCGTTTGTCTATCTGTTTAATGTTTCTTTCTTATCTGGGTATCTAATTATTAATCTGTTTGATTCGTTCATTCGTTCTTTCTTTTTTTCTTTCATTCTTTTTTTCTTTCATTCTTTTTTTCTTTCTTTCTTTCTTTCTTTCAAACCTCTTATCTGGCTGTCTAACTATTAATCTAGTTCTTTGTTTCTTTCATATTTCGGTATGTGTGTGTTAATCTGCTTGATCTTTCTTTCTTTCTTTCTTTCTTTCTTTCTTTCTTTCTTTCAAACCTCTTATCTGGCTGTCTAACTATTAATCTAGTTCTTTGTTTCTTTCATATTTCGGTATGTATGTGTTAATCTGCTTGATTTTTCTTTCTTTTTTTCTTTCTTTCTTTCTTTCTTTTTTTCTATCTTTCTTTCTTCCGTTCTTTCGTTCGTTTTTTTTTATCTTTCTAACTGTTAATCTAGTTCTTTGTTTCTTTCAAATTTCGGTATGTATGTGTTAATCTGTCCGCTTCTTTATTTCTTTCGTTTGTCTTTCTGTTTAATCTTTCTTTCTCGACTGGGTATCTAATTATTAATCTGTTTGCTTCTTTCATTCTTTCTTTCTTTTTTTCTTTCTATCTTTCATATCTCTTATCTGGCTATCTAACTGTTAATCTAGTTCTTTGTTTCTTTCATATTTCGGTATGTATGTGTTAATCTGCTTGATTTTTCTTTCTTTCTTTCTTTCTTTCGTTCGTTCGTTCTTTCTAACTGTTAATCTGGTTCTTTGTTTCTTTCATATTTTGGTATATAAGTGTTAATCTGTTCGCTTCTTTCTTTCTTTCGTTTTATTTATTTATTTCTGTCTCATTTCTTATCGTGCTATCTATTAATCTGTTTTTCTTTTTTTCATATTTCGATATGTAAGTGTTAATCTGTTCGCTTCTTTCTTTCTTTCGTTTTTTTCTTTTTTTCTTTCTTTCTTTCTTTCTTTCTTTCTTTCTCATCTCGTTATCTAACTATTAATCTGTTTGATTTTTTTTTCTTTTATCTTTCTATTTTTCTTATTTTTTTATGTTTTTGTTCACAATTTTCTTCGTTTCTTTACGCCATTTTATTAGTTTCAGTTTTTATTCTTTTTACCTGTCTTTATTTTCATTTTCTTTCTTTCGTTTATTTTTCTAATAAATAAATAAATAAATAAATAGGGTTTATTATTTTTCTTAAAAACAAAAAAAAATATATAAATTCAATTTCATTATACAGTGTAACCCGGATATAAGAGAGTTGTCGGGACCGGAGAAGAAGTCTCTTATATCCGGGTTTCTCTTATATCCTGGTTTGGTCTATTTTATATACATTAACACAGGCTCTAATTTGGGACCAGAGAAAATCTCTCTTATATCCAGGTTTCTCTTATATCCGGGTGTCTTATATCCGGGTTGCACTGTATTTAGGTTTTATTAATATTCTAATTATCACTTTAGGGCTTGGTCAATTCCCCCCCGGTAAACCCACTTTTAACCCCGACCTTGTATCACATTCGGTAGCAATGTCGGCGTACTAAAAAATACTCATATATAGCAAAGTACTTGTTAAACAAGACTGGTCAATTTCCGTATGATTCGACACTTTACGCAGGGCCAGTATCTGAGTCCCTTGCTTAACTTAGAATGCGCAAGTTAATTTTATATTTCTGTTTAAACAGCTGGATACTACCGACGGAATTAGATCCCTGGTTTAATATATCGATATCCATGCTAGGAGTGGAGCTCGCTTCCCGGTTCATAGCAGCCTCAAAACCTAAGAAGCATCTTCTACTGCTTGAGCGAGTATCCTCTCTAGTGTAGAATTACTAGTTAGAAATTGTTACCGCTTTGAAACTTGCTATATATCGACGGTCACTTTATCATCTTTCGGTGACATTACATTGAAACACCGGTCCCCTGTACGATCACCGGAGTTAAGCAACGTCGAACTTGGCCAGTACCAACGTGGGTGACCGCTTGGGAATACCACGTACTGTTAGGTTGGGTTTGCGGGCAGTATAATGGCTAATGGTTTGAAATTGTTAATCGGAGAGCCGAGTTTCAATTCCCGACGGTCTTGTTATACTCCCCTACGCGCAAATAACCTAATGAGAACGGTATGAATCCAACTCTTCTCTCTCCAGCTATGGGTTAATTAGTAAGGCTTGTATCATTAAACCATTGTCTTCTCTAAAAACATTTTTCCTGCTGTTATGGTAATTTACCGACGCACGCATGGACTCTCACAGCTATAATTAGGAGCAGGTACTGCCTTTTGTGGGGTGACGTTACTCGCAGTCAGCTCTGACAGTCGGACCGAACATTCTTGCTGTAACACTCTCTTTTGTATATGTTTGTATTACTGTTTCTGTTAATATATTTGTTTAACTCAATTCCTCGCTTTGTGTCTTTATTTCTGGCTCTAACAAGGCCACAACACCTGCTGAGTGTTGATAAGCCTTAAGAAACGTAACAGTCAATCAGTATATATGTCTTCCCCTAAAGGGCTAAGTTCTTCAATTTCAGTGATGAAATTTTTCAGGAGCATCCATTTGATTAAAAAAAATTCTACTCTGCTCTATTAATTAATGTTATAACTGGCGGAATCTTTTGCTCATGGAAAAGTGTTTCCGAGAAATAAAAAGTTGAAAAATCAAAGGACATCGGACAGATTTTCCTGAAGATCATTTTTTTTATCGTTTCATCCCAAGCAAGGCGACACAGCCACCAACATGCAGGGCTGGGTATGGTTACTGGGTGTTAATGAATATATATAAAAAAAAAAATATTAAAGACCAAAAACAATAAAAGAACAGAATTTAAGAGGAAAGAAGATAACGATTGACTTTGCCTTTACATTTTTGAAGATCAAATTTGACTGGAAAGCAGCGGTGGAGAGTTTCACCATAGAAAAACGCGAAAGAAGAAACTGTTACCATAGAACTTACGGTTGCACGTAGCTATTCAACAGTAAAATGATGAAACTATTTCACCAATCTAGTACTGCACTTAAATTCATAGAGTCTAGGGTCCACGGAGGAGAATTCACCGAAACATTTACCACGAAATTTATAGATTACGTATAGGAAAGCTAAATTACGTCGGTGGGAAAGTGACGAGAGGCCAGGTTAAGACCAATAACATCTCAGATTCTTCTTTGGATTAATATTCTCTTACCCATAGCAATATTCAACACCCACTATACCGTATCTTTACAAGCGTCAGATTTAACAAAAAATAAATAAATAATAAAAAAAAAATGAAGTATTAGTGCCATATCTGGTCTGCTATTTTTCAACTTTCACTTTCCATCGTAGATAGAGTTCAAAATCTTGTATGTCATCATGTGCCGGTCTTGGAACCATAATCTCATGTCAAAGGTCAATCGTTATCTATCTTCCTTATCCTCATAATCTTTACTTCCTATAATTTCTCTTTCATTCTTATCATGCAGTTCATTTTTCATTATTATCTGAAAAGAAGTTTTTTCTAACATGAGGGGCTCTCATGCCACTTTAGAGTGAATTGGATCAATTTTAGTATAAAAAAGAAAGTGTTGATTAAAAACAAACAAAAAAATACAATTTTCATGCGCAGACCTTTAATTGTTATTTTTAACAGCAATGACTAAATAATAAAAGAGAGATTTTTGTTATTAAAAATTTTAAAAAGACGTCCTGATATTTAGAAAACTTAGTGCTCTTCAAGTCAAAGGTCAATCGAATATCAATTCCTCTAATAATCATAATCTTCATTACCTTGTCACTCGTCTTCCATTCATATCACATACCTTATTCGTCATAATCATACAGTGGCCTTCTACCTAGAGTGGCTCTCATGCCTTCTGCTAGTTGAACTTTTGTATATGAAACAAGAAACTTGAACTCACCAAAACAATGTTTTCGTAGTTAGGTTGAAGATTAATTCAAAGCATTGATTAAAATCCCATCATAAAATAAGATTTGCATCGCAGAGACGTCCAACCAAGAGTATTCCAGTGATCATTGCTTTAAATTCAGTTTTCATTTTAAGCTCAAACCAAAAAGATGCCGATACCCCGGGAAAAACACGGGTCCGGTTGCCGTCAAAATATGTTGTTTTTTTTAATACGGATATTTTAACAGAAGCTGGAATTCCAGTTGAATACTTTGTTTGAATCTCTCTGCAGTCACATGAAATCCGCCATTTTACAAACCTCCACGTGTCACCGGTTTCTTCACAAGAAGAAAACTCTATGTACCGTTCCAGAAATTGCATAACTCCATCTGAATTTACAAGAGTCAGATCGGATCGAAAATGGTGTATTGCTCTCATATCTGGGCTGAAGCTGCCCGATCAGTGTTCAAAAGCCCTTGCATCGTCTTGCGATCGATGGATTATTTTCTACCATACAGCCTCTTTCCACACAGAGGCAACATTACTGGCCTATCGTTACCTCCATGGCAAATGTTGAGATAAACTCCATTCCTTAATGTCAGAATTCAAACTTGTACGGGCAAGACCCGTTTTGTTACATCAGCAGGGTTGAATCATTACGCATTCCTTTGATAGATTTGGCGTTCCAATCCGAAAACTACTCCCCAAGAAACATTATTTAGTGTAACAGAAACCCGTGTTCATATTTTTTGAACACTACAATCTTAACATCTTTATGTGCAGGGCGTTATCTATCCTTCATATCCCGTAATCTTCATTTATTTCATCATACTTTCGTATAACAGCCTGCTCACTAATCCTCTACCTTTAGGGGCTATTGAGTCTTGAATTCTGCGAATTTTAGTAAAAAGAAATTGACGAAAAAAACAAAGTTCGCACATCAAATACGCCTCATTCAGCCAGCATGACAGAGTAGAAAAACTGCTTGTTGCTAAACATGTCACGATTTTTGATGCAGCTTTCGCAGTAATAAAAATAATAAAACAAAACTTGTGACTGACCTGCATCGTAGAGCGGGCCTGACTTAGTGCAGATGTCGTCGACTTCAAAGGTTTTAAGAACATTTCACGGCAGTATACAACTCTACCTCCCAGGCTCAGCGCCAAGCCCGGTCGGGTCTGTGCACGAGATCAAACACCCTAGCGTGAATTGTTGGCAGAAGCACTTTCATGCATTATTCAACACAAGTGATTGCATCTCGCAACAATCAGCAAAAAGGGAACACAAGCATCACGAGAAAAGGCGAAACATTCGAAAAGCCAAAGTTTAGGAAAGCAGCTGATGTTGACGACATTGTTCCAGAAATCTGCAATTAGAATGGACCTTTCTTTCTTTTTTTCTTTCTTTTTTTTTCTTCTTTTTTTTTCTTTTTTTAATTTTTTTATTTATTTATTCAATGATTTTCACCTTGTACACAGCCCAAGGACGGTGGAGTAATGGATAGCGGCTCGGTTTCAGGAATCTGAGAGCCGAGTTCGAATTCCAATTGAATCACTATACATTATATTCACTTACATCACAATCATTATATTCACTTATGTGCTAATACACTTGGGAAAGGAATCCTCTTCTTCTCTCCCCAGCTATGGGTAAATAGCAAGGCAGACAGGGTTGCCTTGGATGGCAATTGGTCTACCGCAGAAAGAAAATCTGCTGTGGGGGGGATAATCGAAAGATACATGATCGCTTAAATGTGTATCACGCGTGGCGTATAACTGACTGACTCTTCACCTATATCAGTTCCAAGAGCCACTGAAATGAGTGGTTTACTGAAGAATGATTTTTTTTTAAAGCAAATCGCCCAACTGTGACTTATTTAGGATACATGCAGTAGGTTTGACATCATCCTGACTCACGGTAAGCATTTAATTGCGGTTTCTATAAAAGTAAAACTGTATTTAAAACACTATATTTCTTTTACTTCGGATTGAGGAATCAGAGAGCCGAGTTCGAATTCTAGTCGAGTCGATGACATTCACTTACGTCGATGACATTCACTTACCTTGGGTAAGGTATGAATCCTCTTCTTCTCCCCTCAGCTATGGGTAAATAACAGGACAGACTGGGTTCTATCGCCTTGAAAAGTCGAAAACATTCGAAAAACCAAAGTTTAGGAAAGCAGCTGGTGTTGACGTCATCGTTCCAGTAATATGCAATTATAATAGACCTTTATTATTATTATTATTTTTATTTTCTTTGATTTCTGGCGTTTACACATTTCTTTCCGGGTCCCGCCCAGGGACCTAAAGTTAGAAATGGCGTCATGACACTTTCCACTGACAAAAAAAAAAAAAAAAAAAAAATTACATAGATAAAGCCCTTCATAAAGTGTGGGCTGTACTTGTCAGAACAATTTTTTGTATCTCCTTGAGGCATGGACTTCCAGGAATCTCTTCAATTAGTCTACTGCAATCTTTTCCAACCAGTCCTAGGGCTTCAACTACAACAGAGATTGTTGATGCTCCCATATGCCACATTTTCGAGATTTCTATTTCAAGGTCCTTGTATTTTGACAACTTTTTGAATATCTTCAAAGATACATTGCAGTCAGCAGGGACTGCCATATCAATAAGGAGGCAGCGTTTTTGTTTGTGGTCTTTAATAACAATATCTGGGCGGTTGGCCTTGATTGTTCCGTCAGTGTGTATTGTGTAGTACCATAGAATTGTAACAGGTCCTATCTCCGTAACCGGGTCTGGGTGGTGTTCATAACAGTTTCTTTCAGTTTCCTTCCCGTAGAAGTTGCAGATTTTCCAGTGCAGATATTGGCCCACTCTGTCATGTCGGGTTTTATATTCAGTGGGTGCCAACATCGTGCAACCTTATACAAGATGATCAATCGTTTCTGGATATTTATCACAGAATCTGCATTTAGGGCTAACACAATATTTTAGTATATGTGCTTGATAATTCCTAGTTAGCAAGCATTGGTCCTGCGCAGCAAGGATAAAACCTTCAGTTTCCGCTTTCAACCCTGCACTACGTAGCCACTGATGGGTACGGGTTTTGTCTACGTCAGCTTGTTTGGTACAGGCAGAGTATTGGCCATGAAGCGGTTTATC